TCAAGCAAGCCGTAGGCTGGGTTGCCCTTTTCTTGCAGTTTTAGATTTAGTTCATTTAGTTTCATTGTGATATTTACCATGAAATAGAAGTTTTGCAGCCGTTTGTCTTTTTCCGATTCGGGATGGTCAGTGCTTTTTTCATTGAGGAATGTTTTTATTTAACTCAAGCACAAAGTAAAACGTTGCAATACGTTACCTCTAGAAAGCCATCACACTTTATTGTATAGAAGTAGGTCAGAAAACTGGTTATCTGTCAAGGAAATCTTTGAACTGGTGATGGTAGATTGTTTTTGCCAAATGCTGTTAATAATCTTAATTACCAAGTTCATGACTTCAACAATTTTGGCCGGAAATGTTTGGGCACAAAGCACTTCTTGGTGAATTACACAGTGAAACGTTAGAGTTTCATGGTACTTTTCTGAAGAATTGATGTTACACCTCTGTGTATTCCTGTCATACTTCTGGCTCTATCAGTTGCTATCGAAACGATTTTATTTATATCGATTCCATTGTCTTCCAGGCATTTTTGCACAAGCATTTGCTACAGCTTCTCTGCAAGAATTTGCCCTGAGAGCGATAGCAATCCTACAGTTCTTCGTTTGGACCTTGGAAGGACATATACCCTACGAAAAGGGTAACTTTTGTCATGTGTTTTATGTCACAAGACTCATCTATAGCAAGTGATAAGGCAGAAGCCAGCTGAATGTCTTCCACTTGCAAATGTGTTACATTTGAAAACATCTTAGCAGTTCCATCTTGTACTGGTTTTGCAGATAATTGCAAATCTTTGATTTTTTTCATGATTTCTGCTTTGATTATAATATCATGAAATAATTATTCAGATGCTCGTATAAAACAATTTTTGATGTGAATGATTTTACTCTTTTTGCAATTTCTAATGATACTGCAGAGCTTGGCAGATTTACATTATTGGAAGATTGTGCCACTTACTTAGCATGGAACTTGACTTTTTTTTTAAGCTCTTCAAGAGCTTTTTTCGTGCGTCCCCGTTTGGATATTTACCAGCAAACTGGGTATATTTTGTAGTGAAGTGTCTCCCCAAATTTGACTTCTTATTGTGTGTGTGTTTTTGGTGACAAATCAGACAACTCGGAAGGTCATCTGTGTTGTATATGAATGTGAACGACTCAGTCCAATCCTGATTGAATTCTCGGTTTTCTTCTTCAGTTCTTCTCTTTTTTTGCCAGCTGCCATGCAGACAGCGGAGCTGAAAAAATTAACAATAGTTCAAATTAAATACCACTATCTATGAAAATTTGTGCATATTCATGAAGACGCTGCTTTGAACTGACATTACGTTTTCGTAACACTTTTAAAAATACTTATTTATACCAACAAAGATAAAATAATAACCTTGCATTTTGACGAAGTTATACAATTTAATGTTTGAGAAGATTGGTGTGGGTTCATAAAATTATTTGATTGGTCGTGCCTTATATGAAATCTAGTCAAAATTAAAAGAAAAAAACTTTACCAAAAACATACCAAAGCAATAATTTATTTTTAATAAAAAAAAATTAATTTGAAAGAACAGTCCCCCCAGAAGCATTCAAGTTTTATTTACAATATAAAAAAAGTGTTTAAGAAAAAAATACTATTCAGAAGACAAATGAAAAAATGTGTTGACTAATGTTGCAAAAATGCAATGTCAGTCATTAATGGATTAATAGACCCATTAGAAGTGGAATCATCCATGTAAGTATGCAATCAATTTTCTGGAGTGTATATTTCTTTTGATCGTGTCAAGAGTAGCCATCTTAAGCTCTGTATCTGTAGAAAATTTCTGGTGTAAAGCAAGGTAGATTTTAATCCAAGCTAAGCGAGTATGTATGTCAGCTAAAAATTGTCATGTCTTTAAAAGTTTTTCAAACAATTTCAAAGCAGAGCTTTGTCTGGGATCAGCCAGTGGTTTCAGATCAGTCTGTAGTTGGTTGCTTGGCTTCATTTGTCTGAGTGAGTAGTGCCTGTGATTATTGTAAGAGCATTGTTTTAAACACTTTCACACTTCTTATTGGTGGTCTCAGATGCAGTAATCAATACTTAGCTCTGTTTTTTTAATAGCAAGTCTGGTATAGGTCTTAAAGATTATGCAAAGCAAGTCCTGTGGAGCTTCGTTCATTCTTGTTAATCTCTAATAATCTATTTCTGAACATATCAACTTCTGCAATTTTTTGAAAAACCCTCTCCAGCTCGGTCTGAAATCTAAAGTGATCCCAACTATCTAACGCATTCAGTTGTATTTAACTGGTATAGTCCATGTAAATGTGGTTTTATACTTAAGATAAAAATTGTATAATTAGTCTTTTAAATATTTTTAATCATTTCTTTTTCTCTTGAACAGAATAAAAGACTGTCCAGAGCCTCATTAAGGGAATCTTTTTTTTAAAGTATTTTTATCAGGGGATCATGATACCAAATCATCTGCAAAAAGAGTCTTTACTGCATTTTTTATGTTCATAAGCCTCTTAACTGCATAATTGATTGTGATGCTGAACATGATCGGACTTAACAGTGAGCCTTAAAACACTCCCTGCTGAGTTTCTGTAAAGCAGATAGTGAGCTTCTAGACACATTAAGTTAATTGGAAAAGTTGGAGAGATGAAAAAATAGCAACCACCTTCACCGGGAGTTGAACCACTGACCTCTCTGGAATACCGGCCCAGCGTGCAAAACCACTATACCCTGAAGGCATGGTAGCAAAGTGGGAGAAATACCTTATATACTCCCCTTTTTAAAGGGCTACTGGGTTTTGGGGGGACCCAATCACCAAATTCTGGGTGTGGAGAATCCTTATCCAACACCCTTTTAGTTTGGGCTCACCTGTAGAGACATTAGCTATTTTTGGAAGCAAGAGAGATGAAAAATGAGCAATCGTCTTCACCGGGAATCGAGCCATGGACCTCTGGAATACCGGCCCAGCGTGCAGAATCACTATACCACGAAGGCATGCTAGGAAGGTGGGAGAAATACTTTATAAGCTGTTGAATGTGGTTATAATAAATTGCTGATCCAAGAAAGATTTTATCAACTGTACACATTTCCACATGTTCCCAACCTGATAATCTTAAGACTTTTTCTGCCTGTATGCCATACCAGAGTGGTAAAGTTGCTGAACACTGGTAGTTTGGACTGATGTTCGAATTTCAGCTGGCTGTGTGAGTGTATCTTAGTTTTCCCCATGTGTAACATGTATATGAGTCAGCTTCCCTTAGAAAGTCCTCCACAAGGGCATCCCTCCCCTAAGGCAGATAACCCTTGAGCGCTTTGCCGTAGTCAAATAAACCATCCACATCATATCAAAGGCATCATATCAAAAGCTCCACTACCATCATGATGTATAGCCACATTACATACTTTGCATCTATAAACACTTTGGCTATGGCACTCTTTACAATGAAGTCTTTTGTTATCATCGTACTTTACGATAAAATTCTACCATCTCCATGCAATGGTTTTTGAATGCTGAATTTACTAGGTCTTCCTGTTGCTGATCTATTTCTGGCTAATTCTACACTAATGCAAACTTGCATCTGAAATCTAAAAGACACTTTTTGTTTCCAGTAGTAGAAAGTCGTGATATTTAGTAAGTTTAGATACGGTCTCACCTCATATAATTTATCAGTATTGTCAAATGCAAATTCTGCTTCATATTCCTGTACTGCAAACGTGATATCAATTCTCGTACAACAGGAACAGAAATGTCCTTATCAAAAGACCAATACATTTTTTTCTTGAGGTAAAGATTGATATCCTGTAACCAATAATATTCTAATAAATCTTCTCCTATAGGCTTCAAATGCAATAAATTTTAAGTTTTTTTTTTTTTTTTTTTTTTTTTTTTTTTTTCTGAGCGTATATATTTGTCTGTTCAACGAGAAGAGAGTAAATGTCTAAACCAAAAAGAAAATCGAAAATCTGTGCACTAGTTTTACCCTTGTGTTTGTCTTAATTAATAATTTCTCTTCTATCTCTTCTTCATGTTCTTCCTGAGACATAACTAACAGTTCCTTTTTTATCCACTTCAAGATTTCAGTCTTCTGCTTTTTAAACTTTTTAGTATGATTATAACTGCTTTTAGAAGGCTGAAACTTACTTCTTACGTGAATTTCAACTTCCCCAGCAGTATCATTTGGTAAAATCTCATTATCATTATTTAAAACATTGCCATTCCTTTCTTCTTCGTCACTAGCCTCTGCAATTTCTGGGGGAAAAACAACATCAGTTTCATTCTGGTCATTATTAACATTATCATCATCTGTTTCTTCATCAAAAAATCTTTGAAGGGCTTCTTCTAATGTAAGATACCTTGTTCTAGGCATTTTTAAACAACCAGAACATCGAAAGGAATGAATGAAAAGGAGATTGACTACCCGTTTCCTGCTGACGTTGCATCAACGCAAACACCTGTTTTCGCTTCCTGTGCCCAACACAAATGTAAACATCTGATCTGATAATGTTCTGGTGACCTTGACTAAAAATAGATCACTCATAAAGACAAGGCGAAATCTTTCGTTATAAATATTTCAGCAAAAAATACCCGGTCGAAAATTTTGCTTAAAGTATGAGATTAATTATTATAAACAAAATGATTGTTGAAGGCAAATATTTTTTTACAGAAATAATCTTCATAATATTCCCTACACAAAATCATCTGCTGGTGTAAAGTATCTTAGGTAGTTATATTTATATACGCATTTATTGTGACCTTTGCGTCAACGCAACACCAGTGGCTTATGGGTTAATGAAAGTCTTAAAAGTTGTTGGCATGTCTTTGTTATCATACAAAAATTTATCAAGAATTTTTTTTACATATCAAACATTTTATGATAGTTAGAATGGGTTTTATTTAACTTTATTGAAGTAATGATCATGCTGTTTCATTTTCTTGCATAATTGACTGTGATTAGGAGTATTCAGTTTTTGATTTTGTAATGTCTTTCTTTATCGTGTGCTTTCACACAAAACTGTTTCTTTTCCAGAAAACGATCGGTGGAGTCCTGAAGAAATAGAAGCATATCATCAGGGATTATTAAAATGGGACAAAGATTTTTTTAGCATTGCCAAAGAAGTAAGTGTATTTTCTGGTTTTTTATAAGGTATTTAAAAATTAACTTATTTTCTATATATTTAGTTTAATTTCAATAATACCCCATTTAATGAAATTGTTTTCGTTGAATTTATAAAAGAGTTTTATTTTTAAATTATTAAATTTATTGCTTAGATCCCAACCAAAACTACCAAGCAGTGTGTTCAGTTTTACTACCTGTGGAAGAAAGTTTGTCCTGATGAGTATAAAAGAATAAGACTTATTAGAAGACGGAAGGAGCAAGAGAGTTTATATTATAATCTAAGATCAAAAGAAGAATTCCAAGAAAATGAAGAAAAAAGTGTTAAACAAAACTCTTCTCCTACAACTACTCCTAATCGTAGGCAAGGAATTGAGGTAATAATTAACAGATTTCAGATATCTTTTTAATTACCATTCTTCAGACCTTGCCTTTTTATTTTTAAACATGTAGTATGTTTCTTTTTTCCTGAAATTATTGCCAAATATTTGGCATGTATTTTTTGCAAAAATAGGTGAGTTTTTTGGAAAATTAAGGTGCATTATTTATGATGTAAAATAATAAGATTAAAAATATGTAAATCAAAATTCAAAGTTTAATTTGCAATAGTCCCTTAATTCTCTGTTTTAATTTGATTATTTTTCCTTTCTGTCTTTACAATAGTAACTGCTTATAATAACAGTGTTCTTACGCTTCTTAAAAGTCCTTAATTTCGGCCAGAATCAGCAAAGGATCCTTAATTTTGTTCATCCTACAATTCTGTCTATTTTTAACACCTGCTGCTTTATATGGAAATTTTTTGGCAATACATTGGCAGATGTGTGTTTGGTGGGTTATTTGAATTCTTTCTTACTTCTAATATAAATGGTGTCGAATCCCTACTTCAATCAAAATAAGCATTTTGAAATTTTGTTTTTGCTGATGAAAAATTCATGAAAATTATACCAAAAACACTTTTTTTTAGTAAGAATTCCTCTGTTTTAGGGTGCTTAATTTGGTGGCTTACCAAACTTTTGGTGATTTTTAAGACCAGTTTGTATATAAAATTTTTTATTCAAAGATTTGTGAATTTTTAGCCATTTTTATAAATCAGTGTAACATTGATAAATATTATTAAAATGATAATATTTTTAGTTATATTTAAGAAATAATATTGTTACGAAATATCTGTGATATTCTGTGATATCTGTATGTATAGACAGAATAAAACACTCTTTTCCTCCAAAAAAATTATAAAACTGCTTTAAAATGAATTCTGAAGAGAATTTTTCGTGGCGTCTGTACGAACGTATGTACATACGTGCGTACGTACGTATCTCGCATAACTCAAAAACGAGTAGCCTCAGAACATTGAAATTTTGTATATAGGACTGCTATAACATGTAGATGTGCACCTCGTATTTTGGTTGCAATCGGCCGCACCAAACGTATGTAAATATATTTATATATATATCCACTCTGTTACCCGGCTCAACCCGCTCAATGATCTCAGTTTTTTACTCTTATATGTTTGTAAATTGTACCTTTTTTGCTTTAAAAATGATTGAATTATGTTGTTTTTATCTTCCGGTTAAGGATTTTATGCCTTCAGTAAAATCTTAAGTAAAATAAAAAATTCAGAAGCAATATTTTTAGAATTATCAGCAATTTTAAAGTTGTTTAATTGCCGCTAAGCCTTTTTTTAATGGCGGCCATTGATGTTTACATTTGAAACAGGAGACTAGTGGATTTGTTGCTGATATAGAGAAATTTAGCTTCGCAACAACAAAGATAGCGCCTTCATTTATTATTTAAATCATGCTTAATCCTTTCTGGAATTTTTTCAAGGAAATAAGCGTTTAAGATTTACTTCGTAATTTTTAATATAGATATTTTGAGTTTTTATGTATTTTTGCCTTTTTGCGAAGTGAGAACTGATTTAATTAAATGAGAAATACTCAATCGTCTGTGAAAAAGTTTCTTTTTTGTTTTGTTTGCTTAATTTCTTTTATACATCATTCTAGCTTTATTATGTTATTTGAATAGAACATGTGGCAACGATTAGATAATTCTATTCTTTAAATGATATAAATTTTGTGCATTATGAGTTATAATATGAACGAAATATATATTACATTTATATAACTTGTTATAAATTATATAACAAGTTATGGAACAGTTAACTTAGTTTCCGTTATAAAATTATTATATAAGTTAACTGTTATACAATCCAATAATTATATAACAGTTAACTTATATATTTCGTTCATATTATAACTCATAATGCACAAAATTTATATCATTTAAAGAATAGAATTATCTAATCGTTGCCACATGTTCTATTCAAATATATATTATATAACAGTTAACTTAGTTTCCGTTATAAAATTATTATATAAGTTAACTGTTATATAATTATTAATACTGTTAAGTTAATCTAGCGCCAGAGTGTCGCTATGGTAAACAAATACTAGAGTGAATTTTAAAGAATGTATTTATTCTATTGTGGTTTATGCGCTGTCAGCAAAGTAGATTTAATTCAATCCAATAAGTTTAAATGAAATGCAAGAAAAAATGCGTATAATTTAATATTCTAATACAAGGAAGTCATGTAGTGTACACATCAGATTTTTGTGCTAATACTTTCTCGTTAATTCTATAAAAGACATAATTTCTTTTCAGTTACAAAGTTCCACTGTTCAAGTCCTGTAATTGCTGTGTCGAGAATACCGACTAACTCGTCAATCGAAATTTTTTCATTTCCAATAACCTCTCTGTCACTTTCTTCACTATTGTAAGCGCGCATGGGTAAACATTTTACACACATGCGTAAGTTTGTGGCTTTGAGGTTTTGATTATAGATCATTTCGGATAATGGACGTCCGGATTACGAACTTTGTACTGTATTTAGCAGGAACTAGAATCGAAAGTTCGAAAGCAGAGCATATTTTGGTGGCAGCAAATGAAAGCAGTAATTAAAGAGGAGTGGCATAAATTAAGTCCAGAAATAATACAAAAACTTGTGAAATCAATGCCCAAGAGTTTAAATGAAGTGATCCCACAAGATATTAAGAAGCAAAAGCAATGCAAGTTTTTGATCATTTTTTACTGTTACTAAAAGTATCCGATTAGTTTTGTGAGAATATTTTTCCTCATTAAACAAATGATACTGATTTTTTAATTTAATTTTCATCTTTTTGAAAATGTATTTACTATAAAAAAAACGTTTAAATATGTATAATTAAAAGAAAAGCCTTTCTGTATTAATTTATTTTGGTGTTTTTGTTTAGTAAAGAACACATATTCAAAGTGCCCCATCACTTGTGAGCCACTGTATGTCTCAGCACAACATATGCAGGGCTGGCACTATTAATATTGCATCTTGGTGCAATCTATTTGATCCTAAATTTTGTTGCTCGGTGTTCCACTAAAATTTCTGCAACATTGGCTCTGGCGATGGCGTCTGACTACATATCATTTCATTGTTATTCTCAATATACATTTTATTAAACACAAAATTAAATTGGCAGTTTCTTCTGTACATTCTAAATGCATGCAGTTTTTTTAGAATAAAAGAAATCTTTAATTAAATCCGAAAATTCTAAAATGAAAATTATACTTGAGAAAGATATTGATTGCATGAAGAGAAAGAAAATTGTTTTTCAAAGAATATTAACAACATGTTGAAACATTAAAAAAAATTAGGAGATGAAGCAGAGATTAGCGGGAACATTGATTTGTTTATTGAAACAAATAAACGTATATTCTGAGAAGAAATTGATTATACGTTAGCTAAAATATTTGGAAATTTTTCAAATTAAAAAGATGCATAAATATTTTGTTATGTGTAATTGCTACAAAGCATGTTTTGTAGCTAATGTATAATTATTCTAATATTGTTTTAGAATCAATGTCACAAATGATATGTGTAATTATCTGTTATTTTTTTTTTTTTAATTGTAAAATATTGTTAGATTGGGATTTTAGTGTTTTAGTTTTTTTAACAAATACATTTCTTAAATAAAAAAAATCAATGAATTATGTAAATCTGTAACAATTAACAGTTAATTACCTAATTTAATTATTGGCAATTAATTGCTCACCCTCGACGTTATCTCTATATTTTAAGGTAAGTTATTGGCTTTCCTTAATCCTAATTGTGGATGCAAGATACAACTTAAAATTGTAAAAATTAACATAATAATTTTTTCTTTACAGCTAATGAGACTCAAAATAATACAAAACAACCTCTAGTTATCATCTCTAGTGCTTCAAAAGCTTATTGGAACTTTACAGTATATTAACTGAGTTGCAATTCTACATAAAGCTATGACACTGAGTGCCTCAGACAGACAAAGCTTACTAACTGTGCCCATGTTAACAGCAGCTTTTTTGTTACGAATCATGCTATTATGTAAATTTCCAAATTTTGCAAATAGTTTAATTTTAACATTAATTTTTAATTAATAATTTAAGTGTTAATTACTAGATTGTTATTGCCTTACTAAATAAACTCAAAGTTACTGCTGTAGTATGCAGTATTGAAATAAAATTTATTAAATACAACTGCTTAATAAACTTGAATATGTTTGAAATGGATGTGATTTTAATAACTGTCAAGTATACTGTACAAAGCGTGAATCTGAACAATTGGGCAATACTTTAGGGGTGATAGAAGGCAGCTATACAAGCAATATTCATCACAGAATGTATGGTCAAATGCAAGCGATGAGTTAAAGAGTAGTTTTTTGCAGTCACATTTAAAGAATTAACACAAGAATGGGAGGAGATACTTCAGAAAACATTTTATTAACAGAATATGCTCATAGAAATTGCTCAAAAGACCTTCCACCAGCTGTAATGTAGGCTTCACACTTGCAAGGTAGGGATTGATGCACATTTGCGAAGACAGCAGGCACTTCCTGAATATCAATAGCAACAACAGCTATCCTGGCGACCAAATACATATTGGTTTCAACAGGGCTCTCGTAGATTAGGCTTTTCATATGATCTCGCAGTAAAAGTCAAAACACAAGAGATCTGGTGATCTTGGTGGCCGAGCTACGAGACCACCTCAACCAATCCATCGCACTGGGAACTTTGCATCTAAAGTGTTCCGCACATCTAAGCTGAAGTGTGCAGGTACACCATCATGCTGGAACCACATTCTCGACCTGATGGGTCTTGGAATCACATGCAGCAGCTCCTCTCATAGGAATGTGTGATACTATTCGTCATCCAGACGGTGTAGCAGGAGGTATGGACAAACCAAATGGTTATGGAGATTCCCTGCCTGAACATTTATGAAGAACCACCACTGAATTAGACACGTGACATGCGGGTTTGTAGATGCACATGTGTGCGATTTACGAGTATTAAAAATACCCTTACTAGTAAAAGTTAACTTGTCCATTAACAGAATATGTGCACCGAAATACGGCTGCTCTGCATTCTAATGGTACCAACTTGCAAAATCAACACGTGATTGTCACTGACATATAACCAACAAACAGATAATGCTTGTGCCTTCTGTGTATGATAGGGTTGCATTTCTTCCTCCTGTAGCACACTGCAAACCGTCATTTGGGACATGTTCCCAGTATGGGAAACCGCTCTTTCACTGTACACAAAATGTCTTCAAGTTGCGGTGTCCTGACACCCCTTTCCTGCCCTGTGTCTTACTTGACTGTGATAAAGGATCCCGTTTCACACAGCTGCCAATGTAAACACTTGAATGTTTCCTGATTTGGAGTGCGTCTCATGGGAAACCAGTCCCAGTAAAGTCTGTGTGCATCACTCGTATTCACGTCTGCTTCACTGTACACAAAGTGCATATCGGCTGTTCATACAACTCATATAACTAGCCATCCTCTTGGCAATCCACAGTAGAGCGCAAGGACTGACCGTATTATACCATTTACAGTGCCACATAGCGGCTCGGTGTTTATATTCTGACCATACATTCAATGGCAAATATTGCTCGTATAGCTGCCTTCTATCACCCCCTAATGTTTTGCCCACTTATTCAGATTCACCCTGTTACATAATGTAATGTATACAGGGTTGCCACGCTACCTGGAAAACCGGAAAAAGTCAGGGAATTCGGAATTGACCAAAAAATTCAGGGAAAAGTAAGGGAATTTAAGTGTTTTAATCAAAATCTGGAAAAGTCAGGGAATTTCATACAACGATCCCGCCAAAAAAGGCGAATTTTGCGCCAACGTCAGAAGAGATCACTTTTTTGGCGAATTGTGTATATCACGTGAGTGTCATTCGGGCAGCTGGCATAGAGCCAATTTTTGCAGCTCTAATTTGATTGTCTTTTAGGAAGGCAAAGCAAGTTTCCCGCAACTTTTGGTTTCCAGTAACCTCGAGAATCGAATGTGCAGTGCATGAACTAAAGAAAGTACCTGTTCTCGTATAAAACAAAATGGGTTTAATCCTAGTATACGGTACGATGAAGAGTAGAATAAAAAAATATGTATTGTAAAGAAGGAAAACCTCTCTGCAACAGACGTGGCTCCATACCATCATAGAGGGAAACAGCTGTGCATGCGCGATATATCTGTCGCCAAAGCTCGAAACCAGTGTCGAAGTTCGAAGGTCACGTTATCAAGAGTTCGTAAAATGAATATCATTTAAAATTTCTTTAAACTGTAAAGGAAAAGAAAATACTTTTTCGCACAAGTAAATTAATTCATGGATTAGTTATTTTGAGGGGGAGAACTACGAAAATCCGTTTTTAAAATTATTGCAAAAAATCCAAGAAAAAATGTTCTTTGATAAAGCGTTTCTTCTTGGATTTTTCGCAATAATTTAAAAACGGATTTTCGTAGTTTCCTTTTTTGGCAAAGAACGTTTCTTCTTAACACATGTTTCTCAATTTCCTGTACACATCGCGAAGAGGGAAATTCTGGCGGCCAGGTTCCGTCGCCAATTTCCTTGGCAAAATTTCCCTCCGCTTTCTAGCGACGTAATAGCATTTAAGTGTATGGAACCTTTTTAAGTAATTATCTTTATTTTTATGTTATTCATATCATTTAATGTTGCTTCTTCCCTCTAAATTTATTTATCATTAGTAAATAATATTTCCAAATTTCAGGAAATTTTCTCTGGCATAATCCTGAAATTAATTCTAGCAGTATGACGACATCACGAAATTTAATGCACATATTTTTTCCTTGTGTATGCTGCGAAATAAATATAAAATACCTCAATTTAGTAAAAAATATCATTAAATAGGTTTCTTTCTTTCATTTAGCTGCAAAATGTCTGCAAAAAAAGCCTTATTTTATTCCAGATTGGACAGATTCTAATCTCAATCTTCAGTGGAGAAAACAACTCCTGTTATAATTATATTTGTGTTTTCAAGTGTTAAGGTGCCTTTTAAGAAGACACCTCACACAAATTAAATTTACCTAAATTCTAACCTAACTTTTAGCATTGTGTTGTGATTTATAAGAACCGGATTAGCCTCATGTTGAACTGGTGATGATCATGAATAATAATTAAATAAAACGTACAATTGTTATCCAATGTGTATATCTTAAATTAAGTTTCTTAAGTGGAAAAGTAAACAAAATTATCAAACAAAGTGTACCAAGAATAATTAAGAATAAATGTCCTATGGGATTTATTGAATAATTAAGTGAATTTGCTACACAGTACAAGTAATACCATAATTAATTTACCTCTTAGCACAGCCAACATACATTATGCGGATAGACTGGAATTTTCTCAAAACATACCTGGAAAAGTCAGGGAATTTCATTCTCCTGTTTGAGTGGCAACCCTGTGTATATTTGAAATCTGTTTTCACATTGATGATGCCAGATAATAATGTAATGTTTACAGTCAAAATTGTATACATAATCAATAAAGCCTTCATAAAAGCTGATTACCCTGTAAGGACGGTGTTCCAATTTCTTTGTTAATCTACAAAAACACGTTCTCTGCATCCTAATTGTATTAAAAATAATGGTAAGAAAAATGACATTTAAGAAAAAGTAAATTAAGCAGAATTTTATTACATTTTAAGATATACAGAACACCATGTTGCATAACTGTGTGCTAATAAATTTCCTTTTTTAACAGGATACATCTGAGAAGCGTGTGGCTGTGAATGGCTCGGTGTCATCCTCAAAATCCTCTGAAATTAAGACCTCTGTACACAATAATACCTCTTCTGCTGCTACATCTACTTATAATGGCTCTAATGTTGCTTCTACGTATGACTTTACCATGGAGCCTCTTGAGGAATTTCCATGTAAAATTTGTGGCAAGTAAGTAATTTTAATGATTATTATTATTTAACATGTTCATTATCTAATTGTGAAATATTTTCATTCAACATTCTGAGAAATGTGACCAAGAGAACTCCAAATATTCGAATTAACAAGGCCATTAAGTTCCTGGAGGGTTTATTATTATTATGCTGTTGAGAAGGTTACTATTTAATGATAAAATCTCAAAGCAATAAATAGTCATTTAATCATGAAAATTGTAGCAAAAGAACCCCCCCCCCCCTCATTTGCTTGCAATAACCTATTTTGAAATTTAGTGATGAATAGATAAAATAGAAAAAGAGGGGGAAATGTGCTCTAATCCTACTGAATTTTAACTACATTACTCATTTCATGAGAAATTTCTGAAATGATATATTCTTTTCTACTGTATAAAATTTTATGTATTGGCAATACTGTTACCCATCAATGCATTCTCGGCAAGATTGGTAAGTTTCTTCTGCGACAAAGAAAATCCGAAGAAATCGACTTTTTTTACTTGTTTAATAATAATGCATTAATATTTTCATGTATAGCACTAGTGTAATGTTAATTAATTTGAGTATTCTCATTATATGTATATTTAATTTCATTTTTATGCTTATAATAACATTCTTTAGTGATACGTATGTGTGTGTGTGCATTTTTGTATTTGTTTTGAAACCTTTTTTTTTTTTTTTTTTTTTTTTTTTTTTTTTTTATGAATTTCTCAACAGCAATAAAATAGAAAATTTAAAAATCTGATTCTGCATCATCAATAACGCAGTGTTAGGTATTTATAAATGAATAAAAATTCTGCCTCACATTTGCTAGAGTTTTAGGCAAAATTATTTAATTTGCATTTTATTGCAGAAAATGAAACATTTATTTTCAATTACAAGCAAATTATTATTAGCAAATTTATTATCTTTAACAGTTTTATGAGTGCACCATTTTCCATTTCTTTCCTTTTCTTGTAGTTTTTGATATTTCTTCCATTGTCCTGGAAGAAACTCCACCCCGATTTATGTATAAAAAAGTATTTTCTGTTATTGACTTTTTCTGCAACATGGCTACATTTTTAACAAAAATCATGACTAGAAAATATAATAATAATACTCTTTTCTCTTAAAATATTTTGCATTCTTTTCTTTTATTGTCTAAAAACCATTCTAATGATTTGGAGCTAGTGTAAACAATTTATTCAAATGTAGAAAAGTACAGTGCAAAATCAAAAACCTCGAATCATTTTGATTTCAGTAGTTCTGGATTTGAAAAATTTATGGATGTTAGATTATTGATTTAAATTTAGTTAGATAACATGTAAAAATTATAAAATTTAAAATAGGAAATAATGAAGCATTTATGATCAAATTTATAAAGCTTGAAGAAAAAACACTCCATTTGTTTTATTAAATATTTCTTTCAGTGTAAGTTATTTAATCTGTTTCATATTTTTGTATTAGTATTTTCTCGTGAATTTTATAGATAGACATAATTTCTTGTTCAGTTACAAAGGTGTATTCTTCGAGACCTGTAATTGCCATGTCAAGAATTCCCATTAAAGTGTCAGTCAAAATCTTCTCAAAATCGCCTCAAAAACCTCTTTGTCACTTTCTTTACTATCAATAGCTGTGTTTTCTGGATTTAAAATAACACTACAAATTGCTCTCTTTGTTAGTTAGTTGCTGATTGAGCCATTGTCATCATAATGGAAAATCTCTGTTATATAATCTTCATTTATTACCAGTTCTCCACATTTCTTTACAAATTTTACCTTCCATAGTGTTCAAAATCTATACACCCCCCAAAAGGTTATTTTGCTACTTTTGAATTTCTACTTTCTTAAGTCTGAATTGCATCAAAGCAATTTTTTCTCACTAAGGCCAATACAGAGGGTAAATACCAAATAATGTTTTTTTTCATTGTATATCCTGCTACAGCTTCTTAATTAGAAACTTTCTTCAACGTAATCAAAGGTTTAAACTTTAACAGGGTTCGTACAATCCTTAAGAGTCCTTAAAAGTCCTTAATTTTTTTTGAATCGATTTTTAGTCCTTAAAAGTCCTTAATTTTGGCCAAAATTACTACAAGGTCCTTAATTTTAATCATCTGAAATTTCTGCCTGTTTTTACGACTGCCATTTTGAGTGTGAATTAGCATTTTGGAGGAATATTTTTGGCGATTCACTAACGTATTTGGTTATCTTTTGAATGTGTTCATGGGTTATAATTTATTTCTATTCCTAATATAAATGATGAGATACTCGAAAGAAGTGAAACATAAGCACTTCAAAATTCATTTTTTGTAATAAAGAACTCTTAAGCAATTTTCGCTTTTGGGAATGTGAATTCTTTTATTAAACGGTCCTAAATTTGGCGATTTTAAGATCAGTTTCTATAGAAAATTTTTAATTCCGAAATCTGAGAATTTTTTTATGATTTTTTTAAAACATCATATCATTGATAAATTTCATTAAAATAATAAAATTGGAGATGTATTTAAAAAATAACATTAAAATAAAACATTTTGATTTTTCGCTATCGTATTATAAAGTTTATAAAGTTTCATTTTCGTATTATAAAGTTTCATTTTGGCAACTTATTATACAATATTTTGAATCTGAAAAATAAACAAGGTATAATGCTATAAAGCACAATTTACGAAACAGCTCTTAGCAAAAGCAAAATCAACTAATTAAAAAATATTAATTAAAAAGGCTTTCTTTTTAATTTTTTCATAGTAAGTGTTTTTTCCATGTAATTGAACTCCGAATTTTCAAAATTCTCAGAATTCTCCGTCATATAATGTTTTTCCGAAGGTAAATTTTTTTACTTAAATTTTGTATAAAATTATTTTTACACATTTTCCTTCCTTCCTTTTTTTTTTTTTTTTTTTTTTTTTCCAAAATATTTCTGGCTTTTCGCTGTTGCAGAATTGGTTGGGATAATTTTTCTTTAGTATTTTTGACATTGCAGTTTAAAAATTTAGAAGGATTGGAAGGCAAGATTTATAGACCCACGATTCTAGAACATTCGAGAAATATGTGACAAAATGAAAAATGTCTCCATGGTATCAATGCGTAATGGATGTATTTTACAGAAAGTTTGTGATGAATTTCTTACTTTTTGGAGAACGTCTGGAAGAACAATGAAGACATAATATTTGAATGTTTTACTCCTAATACTAGAATCTTTTTTCTTAACATGTTTATCTTCCCTTTATATTCTCTACTTTTCACTAGACACAAGCATGGAAAATATCAAAAATGCTTCTAATCTTATCCCTTGGGCAGGCATTATAGAAAGGGATTTTTTTATTAATTAAAGAAATTGAAAACTTACAATTTAAAAGATCCATGTAATGTGTCTTAATGCATCATACACAGAGCTGGCACTAGGGCATTTTCCCATCTGATGCAATCCCTGTGGATCCTAAAATCGACTGCATAGTGTCTTTCTAAATTCTGCTTCCAATGCCTGTCTAAATTCTAAAAGTTTTGCCATTTCTAGATTTTGTTATTTGGTGTGTTATTAAACTCTAAAAATTCTACCACACCAGCTCTGTAACTGGCCTTTACCATATATATTTCATATTTCTTCTGAATTTCACATTACGAACAAAATTAAATTAGTCACTTTTTCTATACATTCTAAATGCATTTAGTGGTTTTTAGAAAAACAGAAATCCTTAATTAAATCCAAAAATTCTAAAATGTAAAGGAAAGATGCTGAAGAAAGAAACTGAATACATAAAGAAAATTTTTCTTTAAAGATATGTGCAATTATTATTATATTATTATGTAAATTACCAAATTGTTTATGATTTCAGCCTTTACTATAATTTTCTATTTCTGTTTCCTTATATGATAAAGTTACAGAGGTAGATTAAATTAAAATTAAATTGTATAATCTTTGACCACTAGTCCACATTTTTAGTTTGAATTTGACTGTTCTTGTTTAATTACATCACCGTGAGATGTAATTGACTTGATTATAGCATCAGAACATGCCTTTATGCTTCTTCTAAGTTCTTTTTAAATAAGAGGCTTATTTAAACTTTTGTCTAATATTGTAATTACTTTCAGACATAGAGATAATTTGCTTCATGTCTATCGAGGGTTTTGGACTATTTAACTTTTACCAGATCAAGTAGAACCTCATAGGTGCCTTGTGGAGAGGTTGACAAGTTAGGAGATAAAGCATGCAGAAACTAGCAAGAATATTGGTTTGCATATTGAGACAAATCTCTAATTATTGTTAGAAAAGATGCTTAAAGAGAAGAACACCGATATAAACTAGCCAAAATGTTTGAAAAGGCTTCAAATTAAAATTAAAAATTAGGTCTCATTCTAGAAAAACAGCAGCGGTGATAACATTCAGTCTTTTTGTTATGAATGATGCTGATTATGATCTCATTTTAACTTATGCCGTTTGACATAAAATCTACCTGATATTTTTACTAAACTCTAGACCAGCGGTTCTCAACCTTTTGACTAATGTGTACTATCTAAACAAAAATTGAAAACCTTTAGTAACACCACTACAAAGTAGTACTACCATCACAAATCTTGAACAAAGCTCAGATTGCATAAATTTTGGAGTGTTAGAGAAGAAACTCAATCAGGATGCTGGGGTTTTAATTTTTGAAACAAATAGTTAAAAATACTTTGCTTCTTTGTGTACTACCTATTTTTTCTTGTGTACCAGCGGTTGAGAACCTCTGCTCTAGACTGACCAAGTATGTGACAAAATGATACATATTTAAAAAAAAAAAAAAAAAAGTCAACATAAAGCTAACTATTAGTAAAACGTAAATGTCACTTATCTTCTTTCAAATATGTCCAACCTATTATAAGTGTAAACTATTTAATGCTACTTGATAAACTACATGAAGTTGATTTTATTCTAAAACTTATTAATAATTATGTTAATTAATTCATGTTTAGTAATAATGCATACTATTTAGGGATCTATTTTATTTTTAGGATGGTATTACAAAAGTGAAATTCAGGCATAAAA